ATTTTGTAAGTACATGATGAAGAGATTCGAAAGTTGATCTTACCAGAAGATGACAGTGGAGAGGATGTCTATCATATGATGCACGAAAAATCTTCCCATTTTCACCCGAAACAGGGGACTGTGTCAACCTGAACGTCGTATTATAATCAAACGGCTGTATTTCAACGGGAATCAGCCGTCCTCTTCTGGTGAGATCGACCTCTGAATCACTTCCTTATGCACTTATATTAAATTAAAGTCTACCCAACATTATACGTTCTATCAAAGGCTATAGAAATAGCGTTTGGAGTCAAGCGTACACTGGGGCTGGAACCGAATGAAATCGATCTATCAAAAAGATGCGAAACGAATTTACGAGCCCATAAAGCAGATTCTGATATGTGGTCAGAGTCGGATCAGCCACTCGAAATGAACGCGGGCAAGGTAGACAGCAGGTGTGGTGCCACCGCGGTAAACTCGCCATAAAATGCCACACATATTGAGGAGTGGAATATAAGCAAATCAGAATTTTTGACAGGGCGGTAGTCTGCTAAGAGTGTAATGAGTAGATATATGGAACAGGACATAAAGAGGAGTGACAGCGCAACCGCTTAGACAGGAAGTTGGTCAATCGGTTGACTTCAATTATCTCCTTAACGAGTTATAGCTTGGTGCTGAAAATGGCAGAATTAATTGACGATACTTGGGAACGTCTCGGAATGTTCCAAGTCCACTATCCGACTCTGGGGATGTTCCAAGTTCACTGTCCTACGCTGGGAATTATGATACCTACTATAACAAAGGACTTAGGACAAGATGATCCAAGTAAGCGACCTGACAACACGATCATGTGAACACGAGGTCAGACTACATCTATAGGTAGAAAGGAGACTGCGGCAAGGATAGGGGCCACATCTTAGCATTTACACGTTCACTGTCATTTCTAGTTTATCTTTTTGGATATATAAAGTTAATCGTCTGGCTTGATTGGTCTCGCTTGGGAAATAGTATGCTCTGTTCATTTCCCATTTGAATATCAGATTATGCTGCCAATTATCTTTAGGTCGTTATTCATCAACATCTTTTGGTAGCTGTTAGCATGTTTTGTCCATTTTACACCATATATTAACCTCCATCCCATCGTAGTCACACTTATGCATGTTCATAGCGTCAAAAATTTAGTCCTTTCCCTGCGTGACTACTTCACTACTCCATTCTCTGACTATTTCAACTTCTTCCAGGGTCAAGGAAAGTAACTTGATTTTAAGCTATTCTTCGCATTTAATCTAAGATTTCCTCTCTTTTAGCCATAATATATATATAATGTCTTACTTATTTTCCATTATATACCTCATTTTAATTATCTCTATTTTCATCACGCTCTCATTTTTTATTTTTTATTTTTAGCCAACCAATCGCCGCGAATTGCTTAACGAGTTCTCCGAAGCCATGCCTCGCTTCGGAGGCCCCTCTTCTCGTCTCCCAGCTCCATATGATCAGATTTTACAGGATTACCAGCGCCTTGTTCGCAATAGACGTCCGCGCAATAAAGTCCAAAGGCCGCCGAAAAAATATCGTTAGCCTTAAATTCGAATTGATCTTATGTTATTACTTAATTTATTGTGCATCTGTGCATCATGCTCTTAATCACTTTTAATCATCAGCATCATTAATGTCTCATTAGACATGTACATACATTTTTTTCCATATTTGGCTTTTTCTTGTAACAAACACTTTTCTCGGCAGTTGTAAATAAATAACTTTTTCCAGTTCGTTTATATTTTCTCGTTTTCTCTTTGTTTGCAACAACCGTTAATATTGAAGGTATGAAGACCAAGATGGTGTGGTCTTTTGTGCGGTCGCAGTCTCCTTTCGTTGTATATAAGTTGTTTAACCTTGTTTTCGCAACTTGGTCATATTGGTAGGAAGACTTAGATGAACGCACCTTGTCTGAAGTCCATTGTATGCATAATCATTTCCAAAGTCGGACCGTGGACGTGGTACATTCCCAGACGTTT